AAACAAAAGTGACAATGAACTGTAGTTCGTTTTTTTCTTCATGCACATGTACTGATATCAATATCATCACCATCATCATCATCATCATCATCATCATCATCATCATCATCATCATCATCATCATCATCATCATCATCATCATCAATCTCATCAATACCTCTTTCGACCTGAATCAGGGTATAAGTCACAAATAAATGCTTCTTTGTTTCCCTTATGTCGTGCTAGCTTCTATCTCGGGCTAGATCTAGAATGAAACAGCCGATTTAATAGAAAAAGAAACATCTCGATCAGAACAGCCTGAAAAAAGGACAAATTATGAGCGTACTTGGAGGTTAAATCTGTCATCAAATTATGACCAGACGCAATGTTATAGCCATCCTGACCCCTACTACCTTTGCTCCCGTCAAAATCAGGTTGTTCTTTTCAGACTCAGAGCAGGAAAAGACATCATCTCTACACATAGTTTAGGATCGGCAACTTATAACAGTGTTTATGCGAAACCGTCAGCCAAACAGCAAATCATAAAAGCGAGAGAGCCACTAGACGCCAGAATCCTTCTGTTTTCTTAAATATCACGTGGGATCCCACTGTACTGGACAAATAATTTATTATCTGTCTTATCTATATTTGTTGGAGATTTAAAGTCAAACAAAAATTCTCCTAACAGAAATCACAAAGAAACAAAAAAAAATTTAGAAACAACCAAACAAAAGAAAACCAAAGGACACGTCGAAAAAATTCTCCTGATGTCCGTTTTCAATTAGGAATCAATTAAGTTTTACATGTTACCTCTCGCAAAACACATGGAAAGCGTCAACTTTCGACTTTCGTTTATTTCCGTTGTCTACCTCTGCTGGACAAAATAATATGATATTTATGGTAGATTTAAATCGTATTTTACAACAAAAGAATTGAACCTGGTGTTCAGATAATAAAGTGCACGGGGAGTACCGATTTGATTTACTACGTAGGTCACATCCGGTTTAATGGCGGCTGAGGTCAGTCGCTGTTTCTTAGCTCCTGTGTTATCGGTGATTTTGATACGGATTTCAGTGGAGAAAAGTGGTTGTAAGTGGTGGTAAGAGGTATCATTCGTATACTCAAGTAAGTTTTGATATTTTTGTTGTAATTTGTGCACTGTATACTGTCTTTTCTACTGTCTGCATAATTTTTTCTTCTCAGTGAACCTTGCTTCGAGCACGGTTTCATTGTTGTTTTTTCTATTCCTTCTCGCCTGGCTATCGCGCTGTGTTTTTTTCACTCCCTATCTCACTCTTACTCTTACTTGTTCTTTTCTGTATCCTGATATTACAGTTTCCTTGTTTTAATCATTCTTCTTAGGAATAACCGTCTACTGCTAAGTGAACATGATGGCAAAAAATAACAGTGAATCTGTCCCAGCCTGTTTTTTCTTTGCAGAGCATATTGACCGCTCTGTCACAGGCTACCAAATATGTAAGGCCTGTGAGCAAGTTGCCGGCGAGGGAAGTATTATCGGAGCCCAAAAGCTCTATGGACTGTGGAGGATATACCCTGCTACGGTTCAGGCAAGAAACCAACTAATCATTAAGGGCATCATAATTAACAAAATGTTTGTCGCTATCCTCAGCGCCAGCCCGACGGTGACGAAAGGAACCAAGGACTCCCCCACATTGAAAGTCATCATTGGTAACATACCGTTGTCAGTGTCCAATGATGAAATAGGAAAAGAGTTTAAGAAACTAGAGGGAGTGGCCATTCTTTCAAAGTTTTATGAAGAATGTTATAGGGACAACGAAGGAAAGTTGACCTTGTTTAAATCTGGTAGACGTTTTGTCTACATTAATGTCCCCCCTCACCCTCTCCCCAAAGATTTTCAGGTTGGACACTGGAGGCCAACGTTGTATCACTACGGCCAGAAAGAAAAAAAAGAGACGATGGGACCAATACAACCGGTGGAGATCAGCCCGCCCCCGACACCAATGTTCAAGCGACAATCCGTGAGGCTAACGCTGACACACAGGCGGAGACACAGGCAGAGACACACACCCTGCGTGCTGTAAGGCAAACAAATATGGACTCTTTTTTCCCGCAGCCTGACCGCTCCCGCCCCCCAGTACGCTCACCCCGAAG